TTTTTATAATAATCATCATAACACAGAACACTTTTCCATTTTGCTGTTGCTTTTCTGTACACAAACACACTCACACACCACCACCACCAACTCATACACTTTTCAATATCATCACCTCTTTTCTAATCTCTCTTGACACTTTTTCATCTCCTCTCTGTCTGCTCCGGCCAGACACACCCTCCCACACACACAGTCGAGTTGTTTTGTTATCGTCTGTGTAACTCCCTCTTTTTCTCTTTAGCCTCACTCACACACTTTACATCACTGACCACCAACTGAATTTTCTCACCTTGCTCTCTCTCTCTATCTTTTTCCTTTCTTTTTGCTGTAATGATTGCAACCTAGTGCCCCTTTCTCTTCCTGTAAACAATCCTTTATCCACCATTGCAAAATGATGCACTGTTTTACTCTCTCTCTCTCTCTTTCACTATCTCTATTTCTACTTCTCTTTGTTCTACCACGGCATGTTCTCTTTTTTCTCCTTTTCTCATCTCCCTTTTACCTGTTGTGATCGACCTGTATTTATATTACTACACTACGCTATCATCAACACACACACACACATTGAAACTATTGAAACGAAACAAAACGAAAAAAAATTGTAAAAAAGAGTAACATAATAATGATAAAAAATTACAGCAATAAATTACCAAAACTAAAAATATCGGTGGAAATTGGGTAGTGATAAGCCTGGTGATTGTCACGGTGTTTGCGAGCCGGACTTGGCGTTTCTTCTGTGTTTGTTGTTGCTGTCAAAGTGTGTGTGTGTGTGCTGCAGCTGAAGGTGTTTTTATTTTTTCTACTTTCTACTTTTTTTATATATTTACCATGGATTGGTAAGTGGTTTTACGGTGATCAAAGGTGATAATAGGGCTGATGTACTTTCTTTTCCCTAGGATGTACAGAAGGTCAGACGGTGGCCGCAAAAGAGATGGCACTGCTCGGCACTGTACGCTGGCTCCCACTGAAAGCCATCCGCTGGGCGGTTTTAAGCCCGCTTTTCCTCAAGATCATGATTATGATCTGAAGTTGAAAAAGTTGAAGCCCACCGAGCTGAAGAAGGTGCCCGAGGTGGTAAAAAAGCAGCAGAAGAAGAAGCAGACTATAGTGGTCACCGCCTTTGACGGTCTCGATCCGCTGTCGGCGGCCCTCTCGGCGGCGGCGTCTTCGTCGTCGTCAGCCGCCGAAGCGGCTGCTTTTGCCGAGGCCAAGTCTTCCAAATTTTCATCCTCCTCTGCAAATGCAGCCGGTGTTGATGACACTTCCTTTCTGCCTAAAAGCGGCCGAACGGCCACCTTCATCGAGGACGACTTCACCGGGTGGCCCGTCTACCGCAGTCGAATACTGAACAAGTTCAACACCGCCGAGAAGTCGCTCTCCATCAGATCGTCCTACCTCTCAAATGCCTCCTCCTCCTCCTCTGCCTCTACCTTCTCCTCCTCCACGACCATCTCAAAGTCCTTTTCCGCCTCTTCGAGCATCTCCCAGAAGGTGCGCGACCGCCTGGAGGAGCTGGACGACGGCTCGGCGGTGGGAGCAATGACGGCCAGCGGCGGCGGCGGCGGAGGGGCGACCGGCGCCGGGAACCTCTTCGAGGACGGCGCCGCCGTCACCGAGATGGGCAATCTCAGTCAGCCCGAGTTTGTGAAGCGCCTGGAGGAGCTGAAGGCCGGCCTGGTGGACGCCTGGGAGGCCGACCAGAAGGTGAAGGCGCTGAAGATGGCCATCCAGTGCGCCAAGCAGCTGAGCAGCACCGCCGTCCTGCCGTACTACCCGAGCAAGTGGGCGCTGATCAGCGACATACTGGACACCTTTGGCGGCCTCGTCTACCGTCGGCTGCTGAACAAAGCCAACGAGACGGACGGTGGTGGTGGTGGTGGTAGCAATCGCGAGGAGGTGCAGGAGACCTGTCGAAACTGGTTCTTCAAGATTAGCTCCATCCGCGAGCTGCTGCCGCNCGAGACGGACGGTGGTGGTGGTGGTGGTAGCAATCGCGAGGAGGTGCAGGAGACCTGTCGAAACTGGTTCTTCAAGATTAGCTCCATCCGCGAGCTGCTGCCGCGCTTCTACATCGAGGCGGCCATCCTCAGGGTGTACTCTTTTCTGGTGGTAAACGAAGATGGCCTTGGCGTCGGCGTCGGTTCAAGGTCAACCTCTGGNAGGAGGTGCAGGAGACCTGTCGAAACTGGTTCTTCAAGATTAGCTCCATCCGCGAGCTGCTGCCGCGCTTCTACATCGAGGCGGCCATCCTCAGGGTGTACTCTTTTCTGGTGGTGAACGAAGATAGCGGCGGCTTCGGTGGTTCAAGGTCAACCTCGGAACTGCTGGCCGCCCAGTACGAGGCCGTCTTCGGCCGCCTGTCGCGCATGGTGCGCGGCATCGGCGACCCCCTGGTGGCCACCTACTGTCGCGTCTACCTCGCCCGGGTGGCCGTGGAGCTGGCGCCCCGGGCGAAGGCCGTCTTCACCGGCCTCCTCTACGACACCTTCCGCTCGGTGGGCGTCGTCAGTGGGGGCGGTGGTGCTAACCAGCTGCTCAGCGTCCCCGTGCAGCAGACGCTCAACGGACAGAAGGTCGACTACCGCCACTACTACACGCTCTTCACGCCCGCCCTCGACTGGATGCTCGCCTGTGCGCTCTACAAGGCCGACGGCCGGCTACTGGAGGAGGTGGTGGACGTCTTCAGGGGACTCAACTCTAACTCCTCCTCCTCCTCCTCCTGTTCATCCCTGCTGCTCAACTCGCTGCTCACCGCCTACCCGCCCGCCTTCATTCTCGCCCACCTGCGTCCCTTCCTCGACTTCATCAAGCACGTCGACAAGGACTGCTTCGTGGCGGATGAGGGCCACGGGGCCACTGCCGCCACCGCCGTCTACCCGCAGCACCTGCTGGTGAAGGCCCTGGGGGAGGCGCTCAAGGTCGCCCTAGCCTCCTCCTCCTCAGCTTCTGCTGCTGCTACTGAGGGGCTGGGCGCCACGGCGGAGGAGCGCCGCCAGGTGCTCGCCGACGTCTGGCGCATCACCCGAAAGCTGAAGACCGCCGCCGGTGGCAGAGGCAGCCGCTGGCCGGCGGAGTACCTCTCAGTGCTGGACACCTGGGCGGAGATTGTCGCCGGGCGGTACGGCCTGGCGGAGGTCAACGAGCTGCTGGGCGATGTGGTGGCCGCATTTTCCGGTGGCAGCGAATCATCCTCAAACTCCTCTTCGCCGCCCAGCGCCGCCGCCCTCTTCTCCGTCCTGGCGAAGGTGGTCCGCCACGGAGCGGAGCGCTTCCACTACAGTGCCTTCTTCAGCATGTCCAATCTCATGGCGTACCTCGATCTGCTGCATGGAGNGAGCGGAGCGCTTCCACTACAGTGCCTTCTTCAGCATGTCCAATCTCATGGCGTACCTCGATCTGCTGCACGGAGGCAGTGCCAGTGCCAGTGCTGGTAGTGGAAAAACTAGCGAAACTGTCAACGACGGCGAACAGCTGCGCGTCGACGCCTGCAAGCTCCTCGTGGAGGCCTTCATTCGCAGCTTCAGCAGCAGCAGCAGTCCAAAGCCTTTTTCACATGCTTCTGATGAGGATTCCGAAGACCTAGGAGAAGAGGAGTCAGCTGACAGTGACCTGGCCACCTCGGCCGCCGCCACCACCGCCGACCCGGTCATCCTCAACTCGCTGTCCTTTCTCTGCAAGAGCATGCACGACTCGATCACCGCGCTGACGCTGGAGGACGACAAGCGGCAGATGGCCGCCCTCATCATCGGCTTCCTCCGCCGCGTCTCCTACGGGCGCGACTTTGAGGCGCAGCTGGCCTTTCTGGTGGAGGCGCGGGCCACCTTCGCCGGCCACCTCGACGCGGTGCTCGCCTGGCTGGTGCAGGCAGTCGCCCGGCTGGCCATGGAGACGCACGCCATTGTGGGCGGGCATCACACCAAGCGGACGGCGGCCTTTGTGAACGGCTGCATCGCCTACGCCTACATCACCGTGCCGTCGATCGAGGAGGCGCCCACTCGGCTCTGGCTGTACCTGACCGCCGCTCAGGTGGCGCTGGTCAATGGGGCGCTGCCGCAGACGGACGCCTTTCTGAAGGCGGCCATTACGCTGCTGAGACAGCTGCCGCCCACCACCTCGGGAGGCGATGTCGCGCCCCTCTCCAATGACGACTTTCTGGTCAGCTACGTGGGCGTGATGCTGTCCACGCTGTTGGTCGTTCCGGTGAGTGCTGGTAGTGTGATCTAAGTAGTTAAGAGTGACCATAATCAAATTCTGCCTCTTCTTCCTTTCCAGGACAATCCCGAGCTGGGGCCGCTGTACCTCTTCAAGGGCCTCTACAACGTCCTCAAGGAGTACCGGTTTGAGTACGGTGGCGGCCACGGCTCCAATGCCAAGTTCGCCATCTGGGCCAGTCTGCTGCGCTTCCTGGTGACGGCCACCCGGGAGGAGTACCCGTACCACGTGAAGCGGGTCGACTCGAATGACGCCCTCTACGCCCAGGAGACGGCCTTCATCACCGAGGCCACCGTCTACGCGGACCTCGTCTTTGCCGAGCTGATGGAGGCCTTTAAGCAGCAGCAGAAAGAAGGTAGTACCGGTGGTGGTGGGGGTGAGCAACTTCGGCGGCAGTTCTCCAACGCCCTCGAGCTCATCTCGGTGGTGCTGGCCACCGGAAATGCCCACCAGAACAGCCACGCCGTCAACCAGCTCTGGGGCTGGGTGACGAGGAATCAGGGGAGGGTGGCGGCCGTCGCTGGTGGTAGGGAGTGGCCGCCGCTGGAGAGGAGGATGGTAAGTCGATTTGTGAGCTACTATTGTACAGAAGGTCAACTTTTACTGAAGTAACGTTCCTTTTTCTCTTTCTTCCCATCTCCTCCTCATTTACTTTTAACACAGAAGTCCACCTTGCAGTCGATCAAGCGTGCCTTTCACAGTGCTGAAAACGGTGGCCAGCAGTAAAGAAGAGTAGTGTTGTGGTGTGATGAAGGGACCAAATGGATCACACCGCCGCCGCCGCTTTACTAAACCTTGTTGTTGCTATCATTTGCCACTGGGCCGCCGCCCTCTCCGCCCTCATCGCCGCCGCCTCCGTTGCCGCCTCCGTTGCCGTTGCTGACGTACTTCCACAGGCCGTACGTCTTGCCGACGGTGTTCTGCCAGAGGCGAAGTGTGCCGTCCTCGCTGCCGCTGGCGTACAGTTCGCCGTCCGGCGAGAAGCGGACGCAGTGGACGGCGCCAAAGTGGCCCTTGAAGGATTCTGTGATTTAGGAGGAGGAGGAGGAGAAGGAGGAGAATTAGTCAAACATTAGTAAAGTGGTAAACATTGCCAAACAAATCCTCTCTCTCTTCTTACCGAGTTGCTCCCCCGTTTGGTAGTCGTACTTGTAGAGGAGAAAGTCGTCGCCGCCGCAGACGAAGACGTTCTTCTGCGGATGGAGCGAGCAGCTGTAGACGGGCGTGGGGAGGCGCCACTCGGCCAGCGCCGTCATCGACTGCAGACTGAAGAACTGCACCTGCGAGCCGTAGCAGATGGAGAGGATCGACTTGTCGCGGGTCACCTCGATGCTGGTCGGCACCTCGTCGAAGGTCAGCTTGAAGACCTCCCCTTGGGAGCGGCGGTCCCAGAAGCGGACCGTCTTGTCGTCGCAGGCGCTCACGCACTGCTGACCGCTGTCCACGCTGCTGAAGACGACGTGGCGGATGTTGTCGGTGTGGCCGGTCATCATCTGAGGCTCTGGAAAGGAAAGAGACTTTTGGTACTTGTCTGTCTTTTAGAACACCTCCCAAAACAGTTAGTACCTGAGTTGACGTTGTTCAGGTCGTAGATGCGAATGATCTTCTCATTGCTGGCCGTCAGCAGGAGGCGGTCGTCGGTGCTGAAGTCGACGCTCTTGACGATGTGCTTGTGCGGCAGGGAGTGCAGCTCGTCGCCGGTGACGGCGTTCCAAATCTGCAAAAAACGATGATGATGATGAAAATGGAATAGATTTAAGAGATTTGTGAGAACTCTCAAACTTTTTTTAACGACTTACCTTGGCGGTGAAATCGGCCGAACCGGTGGCCGCCCGAGTTCCGTCGCTGTTGAGAACGACGCCCCAGACGGCGCCTGGGAAAAAAGAGAATGAGAATTAGAAGAAGTTCCTCATCAAATAGAACTCAACCACAAAAAACTGCCTACCTTTGTGTCCCTCAAAGGTGCCCAGCCAGTCGCCCGTGTCGCCCTGTCTGATCTGCGGTTTGCCATCTACCAGAAAAACAAATACAAAAACATTGGTCAGCATCTCACCTACCAAAGTGGATGGTCTTCATCCCCGNTCCTCATCAAATAGAACTCAACCACAAAAAACTGCCTACCTTTGTGTCCCTCAAAGGTGCCCAGCCAGTCGCCCGTGTCGCCCTGTCTGATCTGCGGTTTGCCATCTACCAGAAAAACAAATACAAAAACATTGGTCAGCATCTCACTTACCAAAGTGGGTGGTCTTCTGCCCCACTTACCTTTGGACGCCGAGACGAGGTAGTAGCCGGACTTGGTCTGCTCACTAAAGTGCAGATGCACAATGGGTCTCGTGTGGCCGTTGCAGGTGAGCGGTGTCTGCTTCAGCGAGGACATTGACACATTGCTCAGGCTGAGGATGTCCATAGTGGTGGTGGTGATAAGCAAAAGGAGTTGCTGAAGAAGAAGTTTTGGAGGTGATCTATCAAATGGAACTACAAAGACACCGGCTCGGACTCGAAGCAGCCACCACGAGGCATCACAACACACAACGCACAAAAGCCGTCAAGAAAATGAACACAAAAAGATTGGCCAGTGTTTTCAAACGGCGACGCTGTGTGGCGCACTCTGTGCTCCTTTTGAATCTGGTCAATCCTTTCTTTCACTGACTCGATCACTTTCTTCCGCATCGCCTCCATCTTCTCACATCTCTACAGATCATTGATCTAGAAATAGTATAAAATATCAGTCCTGTATTTATTGAGATTGAGAAAAAGTATAAATGAGAAGGTGGTGGCGGCGGTGGTGGTGCTGGGGTAGAGAATCAGCACCTACCTACACGCTCACATGAGAGACAGAGTGGATAAAAGAGAATACTTTGGTCGATATGATAAAGAAGGGATAGAAAAAAGGATTAAAAGAGTAAAACATAGGTGTGTGCGTAGGGGCAATTGATATAAAAAGATTAGACTGTGAAAGGGCCAAAAAGAGAACACCAGACGGCATGGCGAGAGTTTGGGGAAGTTGTTGAGCAGCAGCAGCAGCAACAGCAGAAGTTGTACTGATTTGGTAGTGGGGGTAAAAGGGTTTGGCAAACGTTTGGCTCTGCTTGGCAGGAACAACAACCCCAACAAACAACAACAGCAAAGGCACTGAACTGTAGCAGCAGCAGCTGAAACATCTACAGAATCTTCTTGAGCAGCAGGATGGTGAGGACGACCGTTCCCGTCAGGTAGAAGATGGTCTTGCTGAAGGCGGGCACGTGCTGGCCGAGGACGACTCCCTGTGTTACCCAAAAAGGAGAAAAGATTAGAAATCGAAACACACACACATCAAAGACTTCAAAATAGATCCACTCACCCAGCCGCCGTGGTCCTTCACCCAGCTGCACACCTTGCGCATGATGAACTCGAGGAACCAGCTGAAGAGGCGCTTGAAGTTGGCCAGCGGATTGTGGTACGCCTTCACCACCATGTCGCTGCAGAAGAAGAGCATCACGACGACCTGCTCGCGGCTGAAGCCGCCGTCGCCGGTGAAGAGCTCCTCGAGGAAGGCGCCAAACTCGTCGTAGCTGATGTCCTCCAGGTGGACGGCCTCGGCGCGGGCGAGCACGCGCCGGCGCTCCGGGCTGCGCTCAAACTCGTCGGCAATCAGGCGCAGGTCGCGGCCGAGCTGCTTCATCAGCGGCGCATTGTTCTGCGTGAAGTTGGGCAGGTGGCTGAAGAGGAGGAGGAGGGAAAAAGAAGGATTAGGGGATGAGGAAAGCTTCCTTCCCATGAACAGTTGGCATCACTTACAGAAATCCCAAGTTGGGATCACTCTCCACCGCCTCCTCGCCCTCCTGCTCCACCAGGCGCTCGTGGACGAGCTCGGTGAAGAGGAGGTTCGTGTACAGCTCCGTGTCCTCCGTCTCCGAGTAGTAGACGGCGGTGGGCATTCTTCTTCTTCTTAATCAACTGGTGAGAGATACTGGTGAACGATAACAGTACACACTGTGACTAAAGACAAAAGAATCTTCTGCAAGAAAACAAACAAACAAACAGGCGGGATCTTGAAGTGAGATAAGAGGAAAAGAGCTTCTCAAAGAGTTTGTCTGACTGAATCCAATGGTGCTACTGCTGATGATGATGACTAAAGGAGAGCTGTCTTCTCTCTGAGCTGCAATCACAATGGCTGTGCAAGCGCAACAGTGGTAGCAGCAGCCACTTGATGCGACAGCGACGACGACGACGAGGGTGACAGCAACAAAAAGAAAGAGGTAAGTGCTTGCAAGTATTGCGGCGACAATTGGACAATATCAGTGTGTGTGTGTGTGTGCACGAGCGCGGCAGTGTTCGTGTGTGTTTATTTGCTTGTGAAGGAGGCTGCGAGGTGGATTTGTTCTGATCGACGTGAAGTCACTGCGCCTGGACGAGGGTGAGAGAGGAGAGGAGAGGAGAGAGTGACTGAAGACAACACTGACGGACAGGACAGCGAACTAAGAGGCAGAGAAGGAGAAGACGGTCACCACCGAGCTTCAGTGTGCCTGGATGGCTGGCTGGCCAACGCAATGACAACGTCGAGGAGAGAGAGAGAACTAGTTTTTGGCCAGGGTCTCTTTCTCCTTTGGCCTGTGTGTGTGTGTGTGTGTGCTAAAGACAACCCCGCCAAACGACCGACCAACAGTCAGGCAGGCAGTCTGACCAGAGAGAGAGGTAGAAGTGAGAGTGGTGTGAGTGCTAAGCAGGGGAGAGAAAGAGAAAAGGAAAGAGAAAGAAAAGTTCAATGCCACCGAAGCGAGTGGTCGCCGCCGCTGCTGATGCTGAAGTGTGCATCACCGTCGTGGTCGTCGCCGTCACGTGAGCCTCTTTCTCTCTTGGCCAACTCTAACTCACTCACACTACTCACACTCGTT